TTGTATTTTTAGTAGAGACGGGGTTTCACCGTGTTGACCAGGATGGTCTCGATCTCTTGACCTCGCGATCCACCCGCCTCGGCCTCCCAAAGTGCCGGGATTACAGGCTTGAGCCACCGTGCCCAGCCTTGTATTTCTAGTTTCTATGTAGGAGTCTTGCATCTCTCTGGTTAAACTATTAGTAAGTATTTTATTTTTTTATATTATTGTAAATGAAATTGTTTTCCCAGTTTTACTTCATGATTGTCCATTGGAAGTATGTAGAAATACAACTGATTCTTTTTTTGAGACAGAGTTTTGTTCTGTCTCCCATGCTGGAGTACAGTGGTGTGATCTTGGCTCACTGCAACCTCTGCCTCCCATGTTCAAGGAATTCTCCTGCCTTAGGCTCCTGAGTAGCTGGGATTACAGGCACCCACCACCATGCCCAGCTAATTTTTGTATTTTTAGTAGAGACAGGGTTTCACCATGTCGGCCAGGCAGGTCTCAAACTCCTGACCTCAGGTGATCTGCCCACCTCAGCCCCTCAAAGTGCTGGGATTACAGGCGTAAGTCACCACACCCAGCCCACAGCTGATTCTTATATATGTTCTTTTATTCTGCAACCTTGTTAAACTTGTTAGCTCTCATAGTTTTCTTTGTGTGTATTTATTCCTTAGGGCTTTCTAAGGTCATGTCATCTGCAGATAGATCTGAATGCATTTTATTTCTTTTTCTTGCCTAATTGCTCTGGCTAGAACCTTCAGTATAATACTGAGTGCTAGTGGTAAGAGTGGACATACTTGTCTTATTCCTGATCTTGGGGAATAGCATTAAATCTTTCACTATTAAGTATGATATGGGCTTTTCATAAATACTCTTTATGAAGTTGAAGAAGTTTCCTTCTATTCCTGTTGGTTGAGTGTTTGTATTACGAAGGGGATTGGATTTTGTCAAATGCGGCATTTTCTGTGTCCATTGAGATGATAATATGGTTTTGCCCTTTATTATGTTAATATGGTATATTATATGAATTGAGTTTCATGTGTCGAACCACTCTTGTGTTGCTGGGATAAAGTCCACCTGTTTGTGGTATATAATCCCTTTTATGTATTGCTGAATTTGATTTGCTAGTATCTTGTTGGGGATTTTTATGTCTATATTCAGAAGGGATTTGATCTTTAGTTTTCCTAAGATGTCTTCGTCTGGTAAGGTAATACTAGCTTCATGGAGCTGGAGAGTGTTCCTTGTGACTCAGTCTTGACCAATGGAATATGGCAGAATATGACACAGGAGGTTGGGTCACAGGGCCCTTGCAACTTCTGCCTGCATTTCTTTGGAAACTCACTGTCGGGATGCTTATTGTTAGATCCAGCTACCAGGCTATAAGAAGTGCAGGACATTTGGGGTGGAGGCCCTCCAGTCAACATCCCTAGCTGACAGCAAGCATCAGATGCCAGCCATGTGAATGGGCCATCTTGGACATCCCGCTCAGTAGATGTACATACAGATACTACTGTAGCTTCAACTGACGTCCGATCGTAAGGGAAAACTGCACAGCTGAGTTTAGTCAATCCATTGAACTGTGAGAGTTAATAACAAATTGTGGTTTTAAACCACAGCGTTTTGGGGTAGATTTATTACATAGTAATAGAGCAGGAATCCATTGGCTGCAGCCATCCCTGGCCCATACCTTTCTACAGAATTGTGGAAGCATGCAATGGTGTTTTCTTTTCTCTTGTCTCTTGAAAAGGCCCTGAAAAATGAAATGGCCAGAAGGCAGCATTGAAGAGGGAGCCTGGGTCTTGGAACACCCAAGCCTAGGTAACCAGTGGCCTATTTTCCAAAAGGTGCTTGCTTAGCTGTACTCTGCCTCTGCTCTGAGCAGAGTGAATCAAAGGCTCACAGGGCTCACACATCAGTCAGCCTTCAGCCACTTTGCTGCCCCTGTACCACAGGAGGGTTTTGCTTCTTTGAGTGCCCAGACCTGCCATTGGCTGGCATTTGGAGCCATCTGCTCACTTAGTTTCCTAAATGGATCTGTTATGTGGCATTTATCCTTAATTCCCAGGGTTTTCTCAGACCTGCAATTGGTCTGTAAGCTGAGCATCTCAGACCATCTTGCTAATCCCACCTTCGAGCCTGTGGACAAAGCTGGACTGCCATTCTAAAGACAGATATGACCTAATAACCAGAGAAGCAGAACCGGGGTGGGCCCCAGGTAGATGTGGAAGCTTTTGTGAGCCGGTGCAGCCTTCCCAAATCCCACCCTAACGTTGGGGCCACCATTTGCTTGCTGCACGTAAGAACTAACCAAAGGACCCTGTCTGTTGGATATTCAGTTTCCCTGCTGCAGTCTCTAGGTGCATCAGCTTGGTGTGTCTGCACCAAGCTTACTCCTTCATTTTAAGAAAAAAATGCCAAAGATTTTGTATCTTTTATTTCAATTTCCATAATATCAAGAACGTAAAGATGTACTGTACATGAAAACAGGCTCAATATCATCAGTCGTTAGGGAAATGCAAATCAAAACCCCAAGAGACACCACTTCACATCCACTAGGATGACTATAATAATACATATTTTTTAAATTAGAAAGGAAAATTACAAGTGTTGGTGAGGATTGTGGAGAAACTGAAACCCTTACACATTGGTGTTGGGAACGTAAAATGGCACAGCCACTGTGGAAAGTTCCTCAAAAGATTAGGCATAGAGTCATGGTATGATCCAGCAATTCCACTCCTAGATATATACCTAAGGTCACACAGAAACTTGTACACCAGTGTTCAGAGCAGCACTATTCACAACAGCCAAAAGGTAGAGCTAACCAAATGTGCATCAAATGGTAAATGGATAAATAGAATGTAATATATCCTACAATGAAAACTGTTCAGCCAGAAAAAGGCATGAAATATTGATACCTGCTATAATATGGGCGAACCTTGAAAACATTATGTTAAGTGAAAGAAAGAAGCAAAGGACCATATATTGGATGAGTCCATACCTATGAAACGTTCAGAATAGGGTAATCCTTAGAGAGGAAATAGATTGGTGGTTGCCAGAGGCTGGGCAAAAAAGGACATTGAGAAGTCTGAGGTTTCTCTTTGGGGTAGGAAAAATAATCTTAAATTAGATAGTGGTAGTAGCTGCACAATATTGCGGATCGCACATTGAAGTGTACACTTTGGAATGTTTAAAATAATGAATTTTGTGTTCTATGAATTTTACCTCAATAAAAAATTTTCCAAAAAAAAACCAAACCCTTCTACTTTAATGGTTATTGCTGTAAGGTGACAATATATGTTGTTTGCCATGTAAAGGGACTTTCCCAGTCAAGAAGCAGGACTAGCCAGAGAATAGGTGCTTCTCAGAGTGGCTTGACGGGGCATGAAGAGTATGGTCTGGGAGCCAAAGAATTCTAGTTCTCCATCTCACATTCCAGCCGGGCAACTTCGGGCAAGTTCCTCAGCCTGGAGCACTCTGTTTAAGTCTTCTAAATTGCAGATCTATCTCTAAAAATGCCTATAAAGTGCCCACTATGCACTAGGCATTAGTCCACTAGTCCCTGCTTATCCACGAGGGATACAGTTCCAAGACCCCCAGTGGATGTCTGAATCCACAGATAGTACTAAACCCGGTGTCTACTGTTTTTGCCTATGCATAGATAAATACCTGTGATAGTTTAATTTTTAAATGAGGCACAGTAAGAGATTAACAATAATAACTAGTAACAAAATGGAGCAATTATAACAATATGCCAGCATCGCTACTCTTGTGCTTTGGAGCCGTTGTTCAGAAAAGTAAGGATTACTTGAATGCAAGCACCAAGATGCCACAGCCTTCCATCGGGTGACTGAGACGGCTACTGAGTGACTGATAGGCAGGTGGCATAGACAATGTGGGCACGCTGGGCAAAGGGATGATTCATATCTCAGGTGGGATGGAGCGGACGGTATGAGATTTCATCAGGCTGTTCTTAACAGTGCGCAATTTAAAACCTATGAAGTGTTTGCTTCTGGGATTTTCCACTTAATATTTTTGGACCATGATTGGCTGCATGTAACTAAAACTGTGGAGAGTGAAACCATGGATAAGTGAGGACTCGTATATTTGTTCCGTTTTTCAGCTGGAGAAAATGAGGCACAAGGAAATAGAGTACTTGTCCAAAAGGAGACAGCCAGCGAGAGGCCGAGCAGTGTTCCACAGCAGGCATTTCTGCTGCAGAAATGTGGTCTCACGCTCTGCTCCACGTGGCCTTCTAGGAGTGCCTGACCTCCCTACCTCCCATGGCGCTGTGGGATCCAGTGCCATTAGACACAGGGAAACTGTCTTATAAACATAAACACTGTGCAGCACACACAAGGCTCAGTGTTGCTCCTGTCTCAGATATTAGCAATGAGAGTTACAGAAAAAACACCTGAAGCTCATCTGCCCAAGTGGTCAGTCCTGGCCTTACCCAAAATGCATTCCTTCTGGAGTTCACCAAGGACATTAGGATTGCCTTATGTCCAGATTTCTCTGGACACAGGAACATGTCCCTATAAGGCTTCTGAGAGGACCCTGAGATTGCCATCACTCCATGGGGCCCGAACTTGGGGGCAAAGGAAAACCAGATGGATCCCGGAATTCCTGGCACCAGCTGGGGCAGGTGAACATGGGAGGGGGTGCTAACATCTGGTAACTTATGTTTTTTGTATTTAGAAGGGGGCCTGTAGACAGAATCAAGTGGGAAGTATATCCCATTTCCTTTTTGAGACTTCTGGTCCTGGAGCCGGTGGAGATGCAGGGGTTGGATAGGGAGATTCCCTGGCCCAGCATTTGACAGCTGCGTTGGAAACTCTCGGGGGCAGTATGTATGATCTGGAGAGAATATAACAGAGCTGGGAGCCAGGGTGTTGCTCAGATTCTGGCACTGGTGAATCCGAGAATCAGGAAGATTCAGAAAATGTGGCAGAAGTGCTGGTGTGTTGGCAGCCTGGACTCTGACACATTGAAGGCCCCAGGCTTTTGGCCCCAGGCAGGCATCACTCCCTGCTACCGCAGCCCTGTGTCTCCACCCTGAAGCACTTCTTCTCTGGCTCCTCCTCTTCCCCACGGTGGCAGGCTGTCCACGCCTGCATTCTCTAGGGCCTTCACAGCAGCCTCTTGACTGGGCTTTTCCTGGTTTCTGCCTCTCCAGTCCAGCTTTACCGTCTCCAGTGTGACACTTCCGAAACTCAGGTCAGATTGTCACTCTGCTCCTCGACTCATGTCAGTGGGTCCCTGGGGTCTGCTGAGTGAAGTTGGCATATAGCCCCTCACTGTGGCCCTTGTGGGTCCTCCCAGCCCCAGCCACTGCCCCCCAGCAGAGTCCCTGTGTTCTCCGCAGACCACTCACCCTCTCCTGTCACTCCTCGGTTCCTGACTGCAGCCTGGGTCCACCTGGCAGCTTCCTACTCATCCATTAGGGCCCAACTCAAATGAGGTTTCCCTGACACCACCCAACCCTCAGGCCCTTGCAGAATTAGCCAAGTCTTCATCTGTTTACATAGCACATTTCAGGTATTTCTGTTACAGCATATAATAGTATCGTATTATATCTTATTTCACCTGTCCTGTTTCTGGTGGGCTCTGGGTTCATTTAGCACAGATCCTATGCCTCATTTATATTCCTCTTTCCCTTGCCTGGCACACAGTAGGTGTTCAGTATGTGTATTTTCCCATGAGTGTTCATGGGCTCTCTGAGTGCAACAAAGTATAAACTGCTTAGTCCTTTCTGCCCTGCGTATGAGACTGGACCTAAGGCTGTCATCCCTGGTGGTGTGTTTAAAGTTCTTCCCTCTCCTCTGGGTATCCTGAGCAGAGATGCAGGGAGAAAGGGGAGAAGACTCATCTCATCTCACCTTGAGCTCTAACTGCCATTCAGACACCCCAGACGGACCATTCAGTGTAGGCTGAATGGCCAGACAGGCTCCTACGTGCTAATCAGGTACCATCTTGAAACCAGTCCAAATGGGGAAGCTGTCAGTATTTACACCCATGTGCCCAGCAAACTGGGAGTGAGGGAAGTAAAGCGTGCCTGGGGCTGAGGCATGGAAAGCCCGGGGTTGGATCTGGAGTGTTTAGGCCAGGGAGAAATGCCAAACCATCAGGCAATCATCTTCCACATTCAAGTTTTGATTTTCATTTTAAGTGCACAAAATCCACAATCTTTTTTTTTTTTTAATGCAGCAACAACAGCTTCCTAAAAATGTGTCTCAGCTGAGCCGTTGTCCATAACAGCATGCCATTTGGCCTTTGTAAAAGGAAAAACCTCTGTATTTGTATCTAGAACACCCACAGCTTAGTGTGTCAGATGCTGCTGGCTAGTTTGATTGGTTGCCTTGCGTGGGTGGCTTCCCGCGGGGGCTGGCTTCCCTAAAGTTGAGTGGGCAGTCCCAAGAGTTCTTCAGTCATTTCTGCCTAACCCGAGGAATGCCAGGTTTAAGCAGAGATGAGGCTTCGTGAAGGAATGGATTCCTTTGCTTTTCTGTGGGGAGTGACTGAGGTTCCTAGAGTCTTCCTCGTGAGTGAAAAGGAAGTAGAGGTGTGCTCCAGCCAACTCTTCAGATGAGGCAAGTGGATTGATAATGGCGCATTCCTAGATTCCCAGAGACCTAGCTGGCGGGCTGCCCAGTGATCCGGGAGTTCGGGTCATCTCCACGTTGCTCTGGGCCCTGGCTCGGGTGCCAGACGCAGAGAGTAATTAGAAGGGAGTGGAACAATCGGGGAAGATGATGTTTGCCAGCCACAGGCCGTTTTTATTGTCCCCGCGGGTTGGACACCGGGCTGAACCAGGTAGGACGGAGATCAGTTTTATTATCGTCTTTCGGCCCCTTCTCCTCCTGGCTGGAATTTCACAGAAGCTAACCAATCTCTGCACAGGCGACTCCTCTTGTATCAAAAGGCTGAAATCCCTGGGGGTGTGGCCTACGCGGCAGCTGTTTCTCTCCTGATTTCCAAGGATAATGTCAAGTGCCTCCGAGTGTGTGAAATTCTGGCTGAAAGTGAATGATTGAAATGCTTTTTCCATTAAACCGTCTCCCTTTTCGTATAGGTGTTTTCCTAACAACCCTTATGCAGATAGCTCTGAAAAGTAGGAAATGGTAAGATGTCGAGTGTCTTCAGCTCCTGGCAGCCTGCCCTGCTGAAGCCTTCTGATTTTCCTCCAAAAAAAAGAAAGAACGACAGGCAGACCACCAGCCCTCTGTGTGGCACTGGGCAGACACAGCTGGGAGGCCTGTGTCGTTTTCTTGTCTGCTTTTTGGAGGGCAGGATTATGTTAGAACACTGAGCCATTATGGGTCTCTAGGATCACATATTGCGCTTTATTGTCTACACAGCCAATGTAAGTTATTGATTTGCAAATGGGAAGCATTCCTTTCCAACTCTCTTGAAGGAGGCTGGAGGGAAGCTATTTTCCGAGGGAGAAGACTTGGTTCATTCTTTGCAAAACATTTCCTGTGCAGCCCGATTCCTGCTTTTAGGACCTGCGCCATCGTCAGCAAGCGCACATGTGTGGTGTTCATTCACGAGGGAGGCAGGCATTTGGCAATCGTCCCCAGGGGTCCAGAGTGCCACTTGTTGCACGGAGGCCTCCGCTGTTGGCATCGGGCTCGCCATGTGAGTGGAGAAGGGTGGCCAGGGACGTGCTCCATGGCTGAGTCCGCCCTCCACGGAGACAGTAAAGCGGGGCCCAGGGAGCCCTCCCGTCCCTGCTGGCTTTTGCTGCTCCTTATTCTTACATCCGCCTCCTTCTCAGCTCTTCCTTCACTGATCATATGTGGATTCCGGCAATGATGCAGCTTTGCCAAGTGAATCTTTTCACTGGCGCCCTCTCATTGGTGCCGTTGACGGGAGGTAGTGTCATGGTGCTGTTCACCCCTTCTGACAACAGCCAGGTAGTGTATCCCTCCAATTCTTCATTTTTCACTGATTCTAAGATTCCTATTTTATTCACATTTTAATATCTCCAAAGTGGAGATGCATTTGAAATTCCATGTTGTGTCATTGTTTGGTAGTTTGGTTTCCTGTTTCTCACTAGTAGATAAAACAATGGAGCATCTTATGGCATTGTAGATTCAAAGAAGTAGGAAGGAATCAGAAGGCCAGTGGTCTGATGACTATAATGTAGTTGGGATATTTGTCCCCACTCAGATCTCATGTTAAAATGTAATCCTCAGTGTTGGAGTTGGGGCCTGGTGGGAGGTATCTGGGTCATGGGGGTGGATTCCTCATGAATGGCTAGAGCCATCCCCTTGGTGATAAGTGAGCTCTCACTCTGAGTTCACATGAGTAAAAGTGTGTGGCACCTCCTCCCACACTCTCACTTTGGCTCCCCCTTCACCTTCTGCCATGAGCAAAAGCTCCCTGAGGCCTCCCCAGAAGCCCATGCTTCCACCTCCTGGGTTCAAGCGATTCTCCTGCCTCAGCCTCCCGAGTAAGTGGGATTATAGGCGCATGCCACCACACCCAGCAAATTTTTGTATTTTCAATAAAGTAGGGGTTTCACCATTTTGGCCACGCTGGTCTCGAACTCTTGACCTCAGGTGATCTGTCTTGGCCTCCCAAAAGTGCTGGGATTACAGGCTTGAACCACCACACTCAGCCTAAACCTATTTTCTTATAAATTACCCAGCCTTGGGTAGGTATTTATAGCAGTGCAAGAACAGCCTAACACAGACTGCTTTCAAGATGATTTCAAATCCCGAGATGTCCTTTGAGACTCTGTTCAGGGCCAGGTGCTATGGAGTAGGCAGATGTGTGGAGGGCGCCACCTGCCCTGATATCTCCCAGTTCCAACGCTTTCTTCTGGGGACCCTTATGCCACCTGATAGTGTTTGCCATCTGTCCCTGGCAATTTACTTCTCCTTCCCTACTTCTCTGGAAACATCACCCTCAACTGGGAGCTTGTTGCCCTACCATTTTAAATGTTGGCATCCTATTTTCTCCCTAATCACTCTCTCCTGGGCTTTTAACACATTCGTCTCATTTCTTAGGTGGTTTTCTGATCTTTGGGTCATTTTGGTTGTTTGGGTGACCCTGAAGCTCTTGTGTGGTTCAGAGACTTACATTCTCAAGTGTCCAGGTATAAGAGGACTTTCAGCTAAATAGACATTTTCTCTTCAACATGATAAAAACCTCCATGTTCTGTGGAGTAGGCATATTCCCTTCACTGCGATTGTTTGCGGTTCCCATGGGTTTCGTCTCTGGTCCCCCATAACCTAGCGCCATCCCATGCTCCTCCTCCCCCAGCCTTCCAGGTTTGGGGCATTGCCTCTCTTGGCTGTCAGTGTTCTTTTAATTTTGGCTGGGGTTGCAGCGCATGCCAGCTGCCTCTTCCCTGGGTAAATTGGATCATTTCACCTCGGAGCAAGCTTGTTCTTACATTTTCTGAAGACCTCTTTCCCCTCACTTTTTATCCCTTAGCTGATTTCCTCAGAAAGTTCTGAGGTTTTTTTCCCCTTGGTATTCTTCCTCTAAAAAAAAAAAAAAAGAAAGAAAGAAAGAAAAAGAAAGGTGCCACTAGTCAAACTTCCCAAGAAAATTTCTTTTTTAGAAAAATTTCTGCCTCTGTCACCAGTCTTGTGAAAGTCCCTTTGGTATTTCAGTTATTAATAGCGTTTCTCTATCCTTTAAGAAGATGGGATTTATTTTGGTTTTATGAAGGGTCAGAAAAGCTCTTGTTGGCCAGAAGAGAAACTGTCTTCATTGTATAGGGAAATATGTTCCAAGCTCCAAACCACAACTTACAAATGAACTTTTGGACTAAGACCAGTGTGTAAAGTGAGGAGTCCGTCTCTACTGAGCTCTGAAATGGAAATGCTGGTATGCTGGAGTTCAGGCTAAGACTCACGCGCTGACCTCAAGTGAGTGCTCTGCAAGAGCCCACCAACTTGGGACCCTTGACCTCTGGAAAACTTTTTAAAATTAATTATACAATTAAGGTTGGGCACTGTGGCTCGTACCTATAATCCCAGCACTTTGGGCGGCTGAGTCGGGCAGGTCCCTTGAGTCCAGAGGTTCAAGACCAGCCTGGGCAACATGGCAAAAACCCGTCTCTACAAAAAGTACAAAAATTAGCCGAGCATGGTGGCATGCGCCTGTAGTCCCAGCTACTCAGGAGGTTGAGGTGGGAGGTTCACCTGAACCCGGGATGCAGAGGTTACAGAGTTATGCTTGCACCAGTGCACTCCAGCCTGGGTGACAGAGTGAGACCCAGTCTCAAAAAAAAAGTTACACAATTATAAATTATTGTTAAAAAACCAGAGCATCTAGCGGGGCATGGAGTAAAGAAAGTGAAGCCCCCTCCTGTACCCTGTGCAGGCCTCGGGTACCATGCTTCCCTTAGTATCCATCCCAAGCACCTCTCCCCCAGCATTCATGCAGCTTGACCTCATTTTGTTTAGGGGTCACAAGAATGTTCCCCTGTTTTGGTTCAACCAAAATCCATTCATTGAGGCCCAGAGACCACCTTTAGCCCCGGGAAAACAATTGGCCCTGGGTTCCCATTGGGCATCTGAAAGACCCTGGGTTTTGGCTGCCAGATTGCCTGCCGTCTGCAGCCCTCTCGTCTCCTCTCCTCTCCATCACACAAAGGCAGCCTCAAATTTCTTGTGAAGAAGAGTACCTCTCCCCATTCTCAGCAGTGCAGCAGGACTCGTTCTGGTCATGTGTTCTCTGGATGTTACTGAAGTTATTTTTCTGTGAGCCTACAGTGTACATGACAGTACGCTCAGCCCAGAGAGGGAGGCAGAGCAAAGCAGTTGATCTCTCTCAAGAAGCTGACAGACTCATCAGAAGATAAGAATATGCCCATTCAATAGCCACCCTTTATGAAGCAAGGCAGGTATGCGTATCAGGTTTCTAAAATGTTATGACGTTTGACCTTTGCATTTCTGGGCATATAAACTGAGTAAATAAACATACTTATGCACACAGATTTGTATATAAGAATTTTAATTACTCTGTTGTTGATAAAAATGAAAGATTGAAGGTGGCCTCTAGGTCCAAAGTTAGGAGACTGGTTAAGTGAGTTGTGATATATCCATTCAGTGGCTTACTAGACAGCTGTGTGAAACTAAGCTTTCAAAGTCAATCATGAGGCCGGGCGCAGTGGCTCACGCCTGTAATCCCAGCACTTTGGGAGGCTGAGGCAGGTGGATCATCTGAGGTCAGGAGTTCGAGATCAGCCTGGGCAATGTGGTGAAACCCCGTCTCTACTAAAAATACAAAATTGGCCAGGCATGGTGACACATGCCTGTGATCCCAGCTACTTGGGAGGCTGAGGCAGGAGAATTGCTTGAACCCAGGAGGGAGAGGTTGCAGTGAGCTGAGATCATACCACTACACTCCAGCCTGAGCAATAGAGTGAGACTTGGTCTCAAAAATAAATACATAAAGACATTATGACATGGGAAAATACCATAAAATATTCAGCAAACCATGTTGGATATACTGATTGTAATCAATATGATCTGAATTAATTTTTCCCAACATTTTATAAAAATGTTCAACATATAGTTGAAAGGATTTTGCAGTGAGATCTTCCTTGTGACTACCACTGGCTGTACCATTACCATTTTATTATATTTGCTTTATCATCTGTCTCTCCCCCTCTTCATCCAATAATGCATATGATTTTTTAATGCATTTTAAAGTAAATTTCAGGCATCAGCACACTTTCCCCTTGACATTCCAGCATGCATATCATTAACTAGTGTTCACTATTTGGTTGGTTTTTTTCTTTTGAGGAAAAAATTACACACAGTGAAATGTACATTCATTAAATGTACCTTCTCTGAGTTTTGACAAATGCATACTCTCATGAAACCAGAATCCCTATTAAGATACAGAACATTACCAATTATTTTTACTACTAAGCACACATACTTATTTGTATATGTCTATACCTGTGCAGTGGGATTCCAAGGCTGATTTTATTTTCTTCACTGTATTATTCTTTACTTTCTAAATGGTGTGAGTGAGTACATCTATTTGTTCTTTT